AGATCGAATACTATATAAGAAGGGTTATATTAGTAGGTAGATAGGGTAGTAGTAGGTATAGGTAGTATTCGATAGAGAACTAGGAGGAGAAGGAGGAAGGTAGGCTAGTTAGCCTACTACTAAGCGCTAAGCCCTACCTAAGGCATCGAGACCCTAGCTTTACTTAAGCCTGGTTACATACTAATTACATATAACCTCTTTAGTCCTAATATATAGTCTATTGCTTAGTAGTATCGATAAGCTTCTAGAAGAACGACCTACTAAGCGGTATATATCTAGTTAATAGCTTAACTAGGTTACTAGAGTATTTAAATAGTAATAGTGTTACGGGCTCCGCGATAGTACTAAAGGACTCTTTAAATAAGTACTAAAGAGGTAATAGATTAAAGGGATTGTCTAGTAGTTGCGTCGGGATACTAGCTTAAAGAATAGGCGAGAAGGGAGGGGATATTAGAAAAGGGGAGGACTCGGAGGAGGAGGTGTCCTTATAGGTAGATATTAGAAGAATCTATAGAAGCTTCCGAGCTATAATTGTAGTATAGAAATAAGTATAGAAGGCTTAAACTAAGCTCTTGTATATTCCAAATAAGCGCTCTAAGGAGTATATATATCTCTCTCTACCTAATAGTCCCTCTCGCTAGCTCTTTATATAACCCTTCTATCCCTATAATACCTATTATTTATATAGCTCTTACGCGCCTACCCTATACTAAAACACCTCCTCTTTTGCTCTATTCGGAGGCAGGACATTGCCTATATATCGTTAGCGCAGCAGCGATACTAGTATAGTACTAGAAAGGGCAATTGTTAGTATAGGAGGCTTCTAGTAGTATAGGGGTTAGAAATAAGGCCTCTCTAAGTAGGCTCTTAGCATAATAGTATACGACCCTACTAATCGGATAATATTGCGACGATTGAGTTATTATAGACGTAGATAACCTAGCAATATTATAAAGGCTGTTATCGGAAAGTATAAATTGTTATCGGACTTAGCTATACCCTATATATACTATTACATTGCTTTGCGCATCGAATAACATCGATTCATTATTAGAGTTTTCATTCGGTAGATAGTGTAGTTATTAAAGAGACACGGCGGGCTTATAAGAGCTAGCACTTATCCGGGGTTGCGTTAGCTACTTTACCCCTCGCCCCGGGCTCGGGGATTCCGGCTATACGTAAAATCGCTTTTTCTTAGTAGGCTATACGTAAAACTCGATATAGTAGTATATTATATAGTATATAGACCGGGAAATTGAATTAGGGTGCGGTTAGGGTTAAGAAGTAGTAGATTTCCGTTACATTAGCGACTAAATTGCGACCGTAGATAGTTAAAATAGACCTGCAATCGGCCTCTACGTAAACCTCTTATTAACTAAGTAATTAATTACCTTACAAGTCGGTCTATAAGTCTATTATATAATTGCTATCTCTTATTATTGTTATTAACTAAATAGTTAACTGCTATCTTAAGACTCTTCTAGCTTAATAGGGTTGTTCTTACTACTAGCGACCTCGCCTCGATAGCGACTAGTTTTCTTCGGAGGCTCGTAGAAATAGCGCTTCCGCTATACCGACTCCTAGCGCCGGCGAGGATGTACTAAGTAAGGCTAAATTATAGTATATATAGTATCTTTATTAAGTAGTGCCTCGTCTTGTTATAGCTAGTCGAGTCGGATATTAGGCTCTTACGCGAATAGGCTATTTAATCGCCGCTTAGTCTTAACATTAGTCTACGTTAGTAGGTCGCTTTCGTCGTAGTTATAGGCGCGGCTCGGTAGAGATAATGTTCTTATTAGACTCTACGTATAGGTAATATCGCCGCTCTTACTCGTATCGGTAGTTCGCCTATAATAGCTAATAATATTAGCGTATAGATTACTAGTCTTCTTTAATATAGAGTCGGAGGTAAGAAGGCGCTTATCGAAGACTCGTTATAGTAGCTTATCGATAGACTATAGCTTAACGTCTGCCTACTTAGTCTTGCTATTATTATTAAAGACAATACGGAAGGCCTTACTACACTTTAATCGATAAGTGCGCGCCTTGTTATAAGCACTCTCCGCCTTACGGAGAATCTTCTAGTATCTATTTGTAGCTATATCCTTGTCTTACTAAGTAAGTTATAAGCGCAACTCGTTAGCCTCGATAGCACCTACTCGAATAAGCCGGTTAGGCTATTCCTTCTAACGTTTCTTTGCTCGTTCGATAGTGCTCGTAGACTAGTATTTACGCTTATATTCCTTACCTTTGTAGATAGCCGCGTTAACTAATATATTATATGCCTCTTTTGCTACTTTTATAGGTAACGAGGAAAACGGGTTGAATAGGTAGAATAATAGTAATAATAGTAATATAACCTACGGGACTAGGTTTAGATAAGAGCGTCGGAAGTCCTTACGAGCTTATATAGCAATACGAGACGCCTTAATCGTACGAGGGCTAGTAGTAGTATATAGGAGCTATTGCGGCAATTCGGGTATCGGTATTCGCTAAGGTAGTAACGATAGTATGCCTTAAGCAATTAGGTTCTCGAGTTCCTTAAGGTAGTAGCGACCGTTAGCGCGAGACTAGCCTTCTAGATCGACAATAGTAGGCTCTATAGAACGTTGTTACTTAACCGACGCGATATACTCCTACTAAGCGATTTCCGCTATTGCTAGCGATTCCTCGTATCGGGCCTCTTCCTATACTAATTTACTCTCGATTGCTTGCTAGTTCTAGTTACAGTTAGTAGCTCTATACTAATCTCGAATATGCCTATAAGGGACCTCCCTATTAATTAGGAATATGCCTGTCTTTCGAAATGCTAACCTAATATTGTAAGAGGTAAATGTCTTAGCCCGAATAGCTAAGAGCGCCTCTACAAACTCGGGTATTCCAAACTCGCTAATGCTATAGTGTATAGCCTATAATACCGCTTGCCTATGCCTTAACTTATACGCCTAGAATAGGATTATATCTAAAGGCTATATAAAGTATAAAGTATACGGTTATAGGCCCTATAATTGAATCTTATACCGCTTTACAAAGGCTATAAACTCCTTAAAGCAATAGGAGCCGTAATTGTTGTATAATAGCACCCTCTACTCGTTTAGATGTTTAGGCCTCGTCTTTCGCTTAAACTAGCGGATATAATGCATTATAGTATCGTCGGTTATGTATCTAGACTCGTTAATAGTAATTAAGAAGTTGTCCTTACCTAATAACGAGAGTATAGTTAGTAGGTATCGTTGCTTCGGAAGCGGACTCGGACTCGGAAGTAGCAATAGTAGTAGTAATAGACTTACCTTCCTTCGGCACCTACCGTTCTTAGACTATTATACCTTTAACGATTAACTAATAGTCTACTATCTTACTAAACGCGTTTACGGTCTCGACGATAGTTATATACGTACGATTGCTATTATACTTAGTCTAGGTGCGCCGCTTTGTATCTATTATAACGATATACTCGTTACTACTAATTCTAACCCGGAAGCTAGTTTTATCGAAATTCTACACGTTCTGCGGCTTTATATCTAGTCGCCTTATTATCGCCTTAAACCGGTTAAACTAGCTCCTTATCGTAGAAGGGTCGTAAGCTTCCTTCCGCTATACCTTAATCGGTTTAGACTTAACCTTACTAAGTCTATAGCGCTTTAGAAAGCGGTCCGCCTAGTCTATACTAAATAGCGGTATTATATCCTTCGATATACCTTCTAGTAGTAGGCTTACTAGCATATCTATCGCTATAACGGTAATTAGCGGCACTAGTAAGAATATGCCTATTTCGTCCCTTTTTCGATAATAATCCGCTAGCGCTATCTCTTAAGACTCGTCTAATTTAGTATTAGTTAATAGACGGCTAAATAGCGACCTACGGCCTCTTAACCGCTAATAGATACGAGAATATAGGCGAGTTACTTTCTTACTCTTATAGAGCGCTCGAATACTAACCTTCTTGTCCGATTTAGCTACTAATTCGTAGTACCTCGAAACGACGCGCTCTACTACCCTTTCTGCCCTCTCCGCCTCGGTTAACCGCTTAGCTCGTACCCTCTTTACGTTTTTGCTCTTATTACGCCCTATACCGAGTTTTATATATAATCCGTATAGTAGAATATAAGAAATAGGAGGACTATACGCTTTAGAATAAGGTAGACGCGCCTACTAAGGATTATATAAGAAATAGCGATAGTAAGGTCCTATAGCTACTATATAGTAGTATATACTCGGATAAACTAGCTAATATAATGCCTCGACTCGCGGTTTAATACTGTATATACCTAGATATCTATATAGGACTAGAACCTACTACTATGTCGAGTTTTACGTGTGGCCTACTAAGAAAAAGCGATTTTACGTATGGCCGGAACCCCCGCGAACAGCGGGGAGGAGTGTGTGACGGAACCCCGGATATGTTCTGCCAAAGTCATACAGTATTCTATGCTGAGCACTCGACGTACATCTTGCAACAATGCATGCCATTAGGATTTGCCAGCGGCCCAGCGTGCGCCCGGCATCCATCTCAGCCTGAATACGCTGAAACATTCCTCAGCGATACGCACTGCACGCCATACACGGGGCGCCGCCTCGTCCAGGAAAGGCCGGACGTGAAACTAGCGATGCCTGTACAGTGCCAGCACAATCCAAATCGTCAGAGCACTTGACCTGTTGGCAGAGTGAAGCAGGAACGCATTTCAATCTTGCATGTGACATGAGGTGAAGTGATTTGATCGCAGAGCATCGCAGGACAGGAGCAAATCCTCCTGCTTGGTTCCTGGTCTCCGAACGCCTGAGTGAGTCGATCAACAATAATGAGTGATGAGCGCGGTGGTCGGCAAAGGTCCGGCGGACAAAGAGTCAAAGAGTCGAGAGCGGAGCGAAAGATGGAAAGGGAGAATTCGGTTTCGGATGCGGGCCGCACCTGCCAGGAGTGTTGGACAACTGGACCCGATCTCAATAGGGCCGTAGCTAGCCAAGAACAAGACCGACGTTTCCACCTTCCAGTCGTCACGCTACTACAACACCGCGCAGCACGAAGAGTCCGGAGAGGAGAACGAGAGCTTTTGTTCTGTATGATGAAGTAACGACAAGCATATTCATTGCGATCGATAATATCCTGGGGTCCTTGAGGCCATACCGCCCGTCATGTCTTCTCGTATGCAGACCCTCCTAAATTCACACCGCACCTGAAGCTGATATGACAACTGTCGCATAGTCAAGCAGTTCATTCGCAACGTGCGCGCAGCGAAGACGATAGCCGACGAGCGAGCCGTGGTGCAGAAGGAGAGCGCAGCGATAAGAGCGAGCTTCAGAGAAGAGAGCCATAATTCAGATTTACGGTATGCTTGTAGCCGAGGGAAGCACAGGAGCAGGAGGAATCATACTCACGCATTGCCAGGCGGAACAATGTCGCCAAGCTTCTATATCTCTTCACTCTCGGCGAGCGCACGCATTTCGGCCAGATCGAATGTCTCAAGCTCCTCGCATCACCGCGATTTGCCGACAAGCGTTTAGGCTACCTGGGAACTATGCTGCTGCTGGACGAAAACCAGGAGGTCTTGACGCTTGTCACAAATTCCTTGAAGAAGTAGGCCTCTCTTGCCCAGGCAAACATGCAGCATATCACTAATGCATCGCAGTGACCTCAATCACAGCAACCAATATATCGTTGGACTGGCACTGTGTACGCTGGGGAACATTGCTTCTATCGAGATGTCGCGTGATCTCTTTCCAGAAGTTGAGACGATTCTGTCCTCCTCCAACCCATATATTCGTAGAAAAGCCGCGTTGTGCGCAATGAGGATATGTCGGAAAGTCCCAGACTTGGCGGAACACTTTTTCGACAAGGCCAAGGTTCTGCTGAACGACAGAAACCACGGTGTTCTGCTCAGTGGCCTGACGTTGGTTGTCAGCCTTTGCGAGGCCGATGAAGAGGAAGGCGGAGAACAAGGCGTCGTAGAGATGTTCAGGCCACTGACGGGCAGCTTAGTCAAAGTTCTCAAGGCTCTTTCGCAATCTGGCTACGCTCCCGAGCATGATGTGACCGGAATCACCGATCCTTTCTTGCAGGTCAAGATTCTTCGTCTCTTGAGAGTGCTGGGCCGAGGAGAGCCTCAAACCAGCGAGCAGATCAACGACATCCTGGCTCAGGTCGCGACCAACACTGAGTCCTCAAAAAATGTTGGCAACTCAATCCTGTACGAAGCTGTACTGACAATTCTGGACATTGAAGCCGATTCTGGATTGAGGGTGCTCGGCGTGAACATCCTTGGCAAATTCTTGACGAACAAGGACAACAACATTCGATACGTGGCCCTCAACACGCTAATTAAGGTGGTGGCCATCGAGCCTAACGCTGTTCAAAGACATCGTAACACGATTTTGGATTGCTTGAGAGACCCCGATATTAGCATACGACGGAGAGCTCTCGACCTCAGCTTCACTCTTGTGAATGACTCCAACATTCGCGTGCTCATCAGAGAGCTGCTCGCATTTTTGGAGGTTGCAGATAACGAGTTCAAGCCAATCATGACGTCGCAGATTGGAATCGCGGCAGACAGATACGCGCCCAACAAGCGATGGCATGTGGATACCATGCTGAGAGTACTCAAGCTGGCCGGAAACTATGTCAAAGAACCCATATTGGCTTCTTTTGTTCGCTTGATCGCGACAACGCCGGAATTGCAAACTTACAGTGCTCAAAAACTGTACGCTGCACTCCAAGAAGACATTAGCCAAGAAGGCTTGAATCTCGCGGGTGCTTGGGTTATCGGCGAATATGGCGATGCCCTACTTCGTGGAGGGTCATACGAGGAGGAAGAGCTGGTGAGAGAGGTCAAGGAGAACGAGATCGTCGACCTCTTCTCGTCGATTCTCAACTCGACTTATTCCGGTCAAATCGTCACCGAATATATCATCACCGCCGCAATCAAGCTCACGACTAGATTACAGGACCCAGCACAGTCAGATCGACTTCGGAGGCTTTTGCTAAGCCGTCAAGCAGATCTTGACGTTGAAGTTCAGCAGCGTGCTGTTGAGTACGGCAATCTCTTCGGCTACGACGAAGTACGCCGTGGCGTATTAGAACGAATGCCTGCCCCTGAAATCCGAGAAGAGCAGCGCGTATTGGGAGAAGCGACTAAAAAGCGCCATAGCAAAGTGCCCGCCAAGAAGAAGCCAAGTCAAATCACCGAGCAGGATATGCTCCTTGATCTCATGGGAGGTGATTCTACCATGGCCACCACCGGTACCAGCGCTACAATCAACGGCACACAACACAACAGTGCGGACCTTCTCGCCGATATATTAGGCGGCGGCGATCAGGTCTCATCGCCCACACAACAGACTGCGCCAGGCGCGAATGGCCACGCAAAGCCTCAAAGCAACATGGACTCGATTATGGACCTATTTGGTGGGCCATCCTCTCAAGCTCAGCCTACATCCACCCGACCACAAATTGCGACTGCAGCATCGAGTGACATCCTCAGCGGCTTTGGCGCTACATCACCGCCGGGTCAGCAAGCTGCTGCACACACTGCTTACAACAGGAACGACCTCCTGATAACCTTCGGCGTCCAGCGCAATGCACAAGCCGTATCCGTTACCGCGAAATTCCGTAATAACAGCAATTTTCATAGCTTCAGTGCGCTGAATCTGCAAGCAGCCGTGCCCAAGACGCAAAAGCTTCAATTGCAAGCAATCAGTTCATCTGATCTGGAGGGCGGCCAAGAGGCAACACAGCAAATGCGCATCACCAGTGTGCAAGGAGTAAGTAGCGTTAACGATGCTGGCTGCGATCGATCTACTGACATCTCGCAGGCCCCTCCAGCGAAATTGCGATTACGCCTCAAGGTCACGTACGCGAAAGGTGGTGGTGCGCCTACAACGGAACAAGTGGACTGGTCGGAACCGACATAATGTGAGAGCGACGAGCTCTACCAATACGTGTGGCTTTCAAGGGCCTTCGTCGCAGTCCTACTTGAGTGTAGAATCCGAAGCTCCAGGATGATCTGAGCCCTCACAGAGTAGACGCTCCATCAGAATCAGTACCCCGACAATGCTCTCCGTCATCCATCCCTTTTCGTCGATTTGTGGAGTGAGTGTTCGTTGCAGCGTAGCATTGCATGCCTTCCGCGTGAGACCATGTCTGCCAATCAAGCTCAATGCCAGCTCAGCCTGTAGTCTCCTGCTATTTGAGATGTTGATATCGAACGCAACGTCAGCTGCGATGTCCTTGGGTCATGTCTGGCGCATGCACAAGCTCAAATGCCCTCCCTCATGATTTCGCACCCTTGCCAGCCCACTCCTTCGGCGCCTCCTTCACGATCTTTCCATCTTCAAGCAAAATCCCCTCGCCAGTTCTATCCTCAACCTTCCTGAAGAGCTCCAACGGGATCAATCCATTCTCGTTTCCTTCACTCAATATCACCCCATTATCACTCAACCACAATTTCATCGCCACCTCCATTGCCTTCTCAACATCCAGAAACATGAGCACAGTCGAAGAGTTTCTCATTCCCGAGATCACAGGTGCTTGCGCCTGCTGATCTGCATTAACGTCCTGCTCCACCACAGACTTAAACCCCGCGGGTAGTCCAGAGGCGAAATGCACATGATTTCTCCCCATGGGTTTCAAACCTCCCGAAGCAACAATCAGCATCCAAGCAGAATGCGTCGTCCCGTGAACCGCCATCTCAGGAACATTTCCTTCCTCGACAGAAATAGCTTTCAATAACCCCTCACTTTCGATTTTCAGACTATGTCCCTGATTCGCTCGAATCAACCAATCCCTAGGATCTGCTGATTGCACACTCTCCTCTGCGACTGGAATCATAGTGAAACGCTGTTTATCGTTTTCCTTGACGATTTCTTGCACTTCTTCGAAGGTGACTTTCAGGGATTTGAAATTTCGGGTTTGAAGCAAATCGTTGAGGTTCACGTAGCCGGAACTGTCGAGTTTTAGGCCTTCTTTTTCTGCGTTGTGTCGAAGGATCGAGGATATCTTTTTGGAGACTTGCACGTCGCGGGGCAGAGGACGGCCGCCTCGTCCTCGACCGCGACCTGATTTGGCGCCGCGATTTGACATTGTTCTGGAGCTGAGACGAAAGAACTTGTTGATTATGACTCTGCCGATCAGGTGCGTTCGGAGGTGTCGGTGTTGATGTCGGAGGTTCTGTTGTTGATGTTGAATTTTGGAAGCGAGGCTGTGGCTGCCGAATTTGTGAAGCATGTGCGGCTTGCGCATTGACCCTGCTGGAACGCATGTGAGCAGCGCTACTGACTGACTCACAACACTCGCACGGATTATCCTCCGCTTTCCATTGAGACACCGCACGATTTGAGCAGTTGTCATCGTAATAAGTTCTCATTCCTTTCAATCTAGTGGTATCACAGAAGAAGCTGCAAAGCTGTCCAAGATTCGCGCTCTCATCATCATCATATTCGTGGCATTCTAATCCTTCAGCAAAATGAAAAGATCTACTGCTTCTGAGCACCTTCGGCTTCTCCCTCTTTCTTGCCGCCGAGCATGCCACTGACATACCCACCAGCACTCTTGGCTCCCGAGGTGACATAGCTACCGACACCTTGAGCACCGCTGGAAGCGCTCTGGCCTGCAGCCTTTGCATTGTTGACAACTGGATCTGTCACGCTCGATGCTGCGCCGCCATAAGCTCCTGAGTCGTCCTTTCCTTTGCGCTCGGCGCGATTGACACCTTCTTTGCTGACCATGTCTCCAGCCGGTTGCAATAGACCACCTTGGCCAACTTGCCCAGCAACGAGGTTATTGACGCCATCTTGGAGATTGTCGACTTGGTCTACGCCTGTGACTTTCGTCTTACCAAGGGTATCTGGCCAAAATGTGAGCATTTGACTACCACGGCCTAATGGCAGAGACTCACCTTTGGTCGCGTAGCTGGCCTTGTTATCCTTTGTGAACCACTTCAGATAGAGATCCTCAATCCACGGCATCCAGTTCTCCTTCTGGTGCTGGTAGCCTTCCTTTATCCATTCTGTATATGTCTTGCCTTGCTTCTTCTCTTCTGGCAGCGCATCAAACGTCTGCTTCTTCTGCTCTTCACTCATTGCGTCCCAGTTATGCGTACCCGTTGCTTCCTGAGTTCCAGATTGTACAGCCGAACCTGCTTGTTGCGCTCCAGACTGAACAGCCGAACCAGCCTGCTGACCTGCGCTCTTAAGAGTGTCCATAGTGAGGAGAGAAGCTAGAATAAATGGTATATACTACCATATGTCAGTATCACATGCCAATATCAGAAGATCTCTCGTGAAACCACACTCACGATTTCTGTTATCTGCAAAGATAGCTTTCTTACCTGTGCGAGGCACGAGACGTGCCAACTACTTATCCATTTCTACACCTGACACGTATTGTGACGCCAATTCTATGCCGCGCACTCAACCATTCGTTCCACTTCGTGCCCCATCTTCGGATGAATACGTCACATCTGTAGCTCTTGCAAAAGTTGGTCGTCAGCCAAACCCGGACAACCTGGCAGAGGATCTTCGCGCTGCCCGGTTTTGTTTTCACGTGTGGAGATGAATTCTGTGGCGGTGCTGTCGCGCACTCGATCTCTCTCCGATAGTTGTCAAAGCTTGGAGCTGTCTTCTCTGGTGTGCGGATTCTGTTGCTGCTCATTGCTTGGAGAGTTGAAGGACGAGAGCCGAGTCCTCCGCAGATTCTCGCTTCCATTGAAGACAGCCATCCCATGCCCACAACATCTGCACCGAATAATGCAGAACGACTTGGAGCGCAGCCTACCCTGCTCGACCTGCAGGTGAAGACTCTCGGTATCACCTAGCATAGATCTCGGTGTCAGCCTATTCCTGATAAGAGTTCGATCGAGATATCAGACACAGGGACTCCTGGTACTTACAGAGTCAGTGGCTAAAGGGTGATCTCCCAGTCCCCACGCACTTCCTGAGCTGCTTCTAATGATCTAATCTCGAGCTCAGACATGACCTGGCCTTGCGCATGTAGACTGTCGGCCGTTCACTTGTACTCCTCTCCCGCTTGTATCGTGGAGCGGCCTTGCGCATTAGTGTCTGCACAGGCGAGAAGCCATTATTTCAACCGTCCATCGCTTCCAAGATCTCATGCATGGCACGAGACTCAAGAAACTACCCCATGAGCTTCGAACGGCTCCGAGAATGGAAGGAGTGCACCGCTAGAGATTCGGATAGGCCAGTGAGGTGAGAAGCCATTACTTCACAAGTCCGTCACTTCCCACATGTCACGCCTAGCACAAGCGTAAAGAATCTCCCTCACGAGCTCACAACAACTACAGAGACAGAAGGAACGATGCAATTGTGTCGTCTCATGCTCATTCATTCGTGGTAATACAATAATGATAATAATAATAGTAATACAGCCGTTTCTCGTGTGAGGTGGTCTTCACCTCACCTCTGGTATCAACTCCAAAAATCAAAAACTCCCAAAACTCCAAAACAAAATCCCGACAGCGCCGCGCTAATGATATTTAGGAGCGTTTCCGCTCAATGGTTCCCAAAAATCACTTCGTCAATTGACGGAAATGGCAGGGGCGGTGAACACTATTCCACCGCCACCTGCCGTCGATGCTGCTTTAAAGATGATCGGCGGGAAGGTATGTCCGCCGCGAATGCCTTGCTGTACGGTCGTCGCTGCTGCAGCTCTGGGGCGGTGACCTCCTCCTCGACCACAGGCGGAGTCTTCTCGAATAGCAGCTTTCTTCGAGAGCTAAGCGTTCCCACGCGACTGCCCTCAAAACTAGAATCGTTGCTTCTCTTGGCAGCTAGACACTCGCGAAGTGACGGACTACGACGCTGGGCGCCTGGAGATCTGTCCTCGCTGAGGAGGCGCGACTTTGCCCGGAGACTACCAAGATCGGTCATTGCTCTGGATGGGGCTCGGAAAGAGCGACTCTCCTCGGCGCTCGAATAGTCTGGATTCTGCCGGCTGCGCAATGTGTCTTGAGGGACAGCGCTTAGGCGGCGAGCTGGTAGTGTATTTGGGTGCGTTGGAGTGAAATCAGCTTCAGATGCTGAGTAGTCGTCGACATTGGTAGTGCGAGGACTGATGCTCTCAAAGTCTCCGCGTGGTGTATGCGGTGAGAGAGATGCGAAAAGGCTGCTTCTTCGTACTTCAAGTCGGCTCTGTGGCCGAGTAGCAGGTCTGGTGGTGACGGCGAGACTTGTGCTGCGCGTGTTTCTGAGAGAAGACAATGGTATGGCCCGTGCAGCTGGACCGGAGACAGCGGCTGGCGAAGAGACAACAGTAGATGGTTCTTGCTTGCTGTCGCACAAGGCAATGCACAAGTCGGTCAAATTGCGGCAGATATTGTCCGCTTTGCGTCGTACATGACGATCGTTGATAGAAACAGAAGTTGGATTTGAGCCTTGTGATCCGGCGGCGCCTGTGGCGGCTGCCAGTTGCATGGACTCATGAACAGTGGCTTCGAGTGTTCGGTAGACAGGTGAGCTTAACAAATTCTTGGCTCTCGCGAGCGCATCTTGTAGAAGTGGGTGCACGTTTGCAGCCGTTGAACCACCGATCGTGTTTTCTGATGGCGGGTTGGGAGTCTGCTGAAGAGTTTCGGAGTCTGCCTCTGGCTTACGCACATGTTTTGGTGAAGAGGCAATGGTCGTGGGTGCCGTTGTTGCTGTGCGTGGTCGTTCGTTTGATTCTCCCGACGCTGCAGCACTTGATGTGGGCGGAGTCTTGCCGCCTTCCAACTTCTTAATACGATTCTTCAGCTCGTCCAACTCATCCCATACAGTATCAGCTGTCTGCGACTCAACCGATGAGTCGGTCCTCTGCGGATCTGAGCTCGCTGGCGGGGAGGAGTCGTGCGATTCAAGGGTGTCATTGAAGACAAGATTGTTTTCGTCGCTCTGTCGGGACAGGGCGGTATCGAAAGATGTATTCCGTCTACGTCCAAACTGAGTGGAGGCTTGTGAAGCTGGCGACATGACGCGTTCGAGAATTCGCGACGGAGGCCGGTCTTGAAGCGCCGAGTAGCCACGCGCTCGTCCATATTGCGAGCGTGAAGCGATAGACGCGTTCTCTTCGAATTTTTCGGGAGCTGCACGCGCATTTGAGAGGCGGCGGGGCTCAGCATAGCGGGCAACGTCCATGGCTGCTCTCAGGTTTTCGAGACGTGAGGCTGGACGCGTGTAGATGTTTCCGCTCGTGCTCGGGCGGCTGTCGGTGGCCAGGTTGGCGGGCAGTGACATGCGCTTGTTGGTGTTTGAAGCCCGTGACATTGAGCGGCGAAGACCCTCGGTGATGGGCCTGTGCTGGCTGTGGTTGTCTTCTGCGCCGAGTTCCATGAACAGGTCGGTCTTATCGAAGTTGTTTGGGGGTGCGCGATACATTTTGGAAGACGCTGTTGGTGGTGTGCGACTCCTTGGTGCCTTGGTCAATGCTGCTATGCTCCGGTCCGGTCTTGTTGGCGACGCAGGACAGGATCTAGCTGATTTGCGCAGTTCCAGCAAGGGAGTCGAAGCGTTCGCGACGGGGGTCCTAGTCAACTCATAGTGGACAAGGTGGCCTGCCGGAAATTGGGTGGGATCGCGGAGCTGCAGATGTTTGGGCTTGCGCTTTGGTGCTTTCTCTCCTGCGGCAGTAGTGCTGGCAGTGTTTCGGGTGTTTGGAGCAGATTTGCCTTCCGGTGCTTCGATTTGGTGTATGCGTGTGTGTGTGGAGGGAGAGGAAGCCGGACGCGCCTGCTGCTGCGTGATATCAGCGCGCAGCTTCGGCGGGTCCCGCCCAGCCACGCCAAGGAAACGAGGAGGTATCGGAGGTACCGGGTGGATGTTGTATTCTTCTTCCTGCACACTGTTGTACCGCGACCTCACACTCTTTCTTCGCTTTCTGCACGACGCCGAAGGTGTTGCGGCGCCTTCAAGCTTGCCTTCCACCTCCACCACGGTCGGCGGTGATTTCGAAGCATTCCTGACGCTAGTCCTATCACTTGCATCCTCCAGCCCAAAGCCGTTGAATCCCATGTCGATCCCAGCGCCAGCCAGGTTCTGCGACGTGATCGCTTCCGCGTCGAAGAACACCTGTTCGTCGCCATCTTCCGTCGTCGTGGTCGACATTATTGGGTCTTAAAAAGGCGGCCTGTAGCGTGGAGGTGCGGAGTCGCGCAGTGGGTGCAAGCACGAGTTTTGCATATACCGATGATATACGAGATTCCTTTTAAAACCCATCGTCTCCACTCTGTCCCTGGCAATCAGACTTGTACCTTGCATGTGTCGGAGCCTGAAGCACAGAGTTAAGGTTAGGTTGCTAATCCTCACTACTCTCTACGCGGGAGATTGCTTGGGCAAGGATACTTTGCCCGAGCAGCGCAGCGCACCGAAGCGAGCTGCCTTGAATCGCTTGACCACACCTGTATCTCAGTTGCAGGCCATGTCTTCGCCTATTTGCATGGCTGATATTACACCAAAGTGTCGTTGCGGGTAGGCTGGACCAAGGTCGGACGACCCGAGACGCGGCAGGATAGCATTCCGGTGCATGTCAGAAAAGGGTTGCATCACCACCTACGCACCGCAGCATATGGTTGTATCACGTATCAGCCCGTAAGCGTGCCGACTCATTGCGCAACGAGAATCGACAAGATGTGCGTCCGCATATTCCTCCTTGGTCATTCCCATGCATCAAGCACATCGGCGTGAGCCAGCGCCCGATGTTGCCACCCGTCGTCACCATGTGCAATTCAGGGACTGCATGACAGAGTCACACGTGTTGAGAGGAGCCGTGTAGCACGCACAAGCCTCAAATGGGTGATCGCGTTCGATCCCCTCAAACGACAACCTGATGAGTCATCAAGGGAGCTCCACATGCACTCCAGATATGCGTCGCAGAGCCGTGATTCGCAACGGCCATGAGAAAGTCGGTATGGAGATGGAATGAACGATTGCACCAAGGCTTGCTGTTGGATAAAATCTGATTGTTCAATTCCCTAGGCCTTCGCTTTTGCGTGTTCAGAGAAGTATCGGCTCCGATAAGCAGGGCTAGTTACCTCTTACGATCGATGGTCCGAGGTCACCATCAGCATCACGGCACCATTAGGTGGCCTCACGTAAGAGGCAGTCTATTGACTTCTCAGGGCTTAAAGTTCAAGTGATGATATGCTCTCTGCGCAGCCCATACATATAGACGAATTCCCATGATCCCAACTTTAATGCCGAAACTCTAGATCGACGGCCAGTTTAACTACAACCGCTTAAAGACATTTTCCTCCTCCATCCAATCCTTGGGAATTGACGCCAGGATCACGCAGAGCAAGCGCGCGCAGCTTCACCCTCGAAACTCCAGGATAGCATGCAGGGCAACTTCAGCTTGCCCGGCAAGGGTGCTGTGTTGGGCTGAAAGTTGTGAAGAATAGGATCACGCTGACATTACCTTATGCTGCTGCTCCGGCTGTGACAGCTGAATCGGCAGTCAGGTGTGCAATTCGATTTGCACAAAAATTCGTACTCGCGGCACATGTCTTTCGATGTGATATCGAACTTTGATGAGGCTTGCTTGACACCCGATGGAGCAACTATGAGAATGTTGACATGCATCTTGCGATGGACACATTTGTTGGTAGTACCGTGCTATGACGATTGGCGAGATGATTTTCCAGCTAACGCGATGGGACATGGGATCTAGCATTGCCTGGCTCCTCCTTGGAGTTGGCTGAAGATCGGCAACTCGTTTATTACTGTTGTCCCTATCGTGGCTGCAAGGCATATGCCCTCACTGGGTACAAAGCCTTTGGGAAGCCTTTCTGGAGTTCAGTGCTGACAAGGTGCAGCCCAGCTTCGTGGAATAGTTGTCTGAACTTGGTGTCGGTTCTGGTTACACTACTGTCGACATCGTCATAAACATCTTCACCCAAGTGATGGTTGCTGAGATTCTCCTTCACCACAATCCAGCCTCCAGGATTGAGATATTGCGGAAGACTCTTGAGATATGCAACCAGCTGTAGGTCGGTGAGTTGTCCAACACACCATTGGTTCCAAACGACATCGTACTTCGTCTCCGGCTGCCATTGTTCGAGCCCGACGTTGTAGACCTTGCCCACACAAGGTTCGTTCTTGACTTGGTCAGTGAAAGCCTTGACGGGTTCGATGATGTCCACTATCCCAGCCACGTTGCGCAAAAAGCCTGTTGTGACCCTTCCTATTCCAGCTCCACAATCTGCAACTCTTTCCAATTTCCCCGTGCTTGGAGGAAACACTTTCGACTGCCTACGAAGCTTGGCGAGAAAGTTCGCAGAGCCTTGCAAGTCAACGCGGCTGACTTGAGGGAAGCCTCCTAGCACGCCGTCGACTGTAGCGGGTGTGCTCGACCAATATGCAATGGCAGCGGCATGGTTGATTTTCGAGTCCGGTAAAGCAGAGGGACTTATCATGGGTATTTCTTCTGCAAGCTCACTGCTGTTCTCGTGCTCTCCGTTTGTGCCATTGGCGCCGTTGGCTTCGATGTTGCCATTTCGTGCCTTCTTCGGTAAGCCCTCCTGGTCTGCAGATAGCTTGCGCTTCGGCGAGGATGACATTGCGGAAAACCGCGTGGGTGGTGTTACACTGAAGGCTTGCAGTGCAGGAAGCTTTCGATGGTCAAGGCGTTCGATCGTTCGATCTCAACTTCAACCTCCCATCATCAAAGCTCTTCCTCTTCCCTCGCCTTCCACACCGGACCAACGAAGTCGCCTTCACGAGAGCAACTGAGCCTTGCAATAGCATTTCGACACACATCTTGTCAGCTGATCTAAGCAAGATCATTATCGCCGTAGGAGAGGGGTCCGGCTATCGCAAGCCGTGCAGCTCATGCTCTTTGGCCGTGAACATGTCTCCTCAACATCATCCATGCGCCCTTCAAGTAAGCGGTTATCCGAATAGACGGTGTCGATATTGGACAGGCATGAAGTACGGTATAGCGCCTTGCTAAACATTCATCGATCAACCCGACGACGACTGCATTTCAAGATTTAGAAACAGCACCTATGGCGGGAATATATATGTCAGAGGACAAGTTCACGATGGAGGATATGATGGAAAAAGACCCTACGCTCGAAGTCAATGGCATACCAGACCAGGCCAATGGACCCAGACCTGATCCTCCACAGCGAAATGGAGAGCCTCGACCACCAGATTGGATACCACTGTACAGAAAGCCGATGCGGACGCCGACACGGAAATTGCGAATTGCTTGTATAGGAGCTGGCATCTCAGCGATGAATCTGGCTTACAAGATATATCATGAATGGCACGACGTAATTGGCGAATTCACTGAACTTGTTATATACGAAGCAAACGAAACATTGGGTGGAACGTGGCTTGTCAATACCTACCCAGGAGTGGCGTGCGATGTTCCTGCCCACATTTACACTGTAGGCCATGTGTTGGATTGATATACTTGACGAGTTGGCATTGACCGTATCCAGTTTCCGTTTGAACCGAATCCCAATTGGAGCGCATATTATGCCTCGGGTGGAGAAATCTTAGAGTACTTCAGGAAGACCGTGGACAAGTACGACCTCGCACGCGACGTCAAATGTGGCCATCGCGTTTCATATGCACAATTTCACGAGGACGAAGGCAAATGGCATCTGAAGGTGGAAACCAAGTCTGGCACAGTAGAAGATACTGCCGACGTTTTCGTCTCTGCTGTAGGCTTCTTGAGCAAATGGAGGTGGCCAGATATTCCTGGACTCGCAGACTTCAAAGGATCGAAAATGCACTCCGCCGACTGGGATCCGAGCTTTGACTACACCGGCAAGCGAATCGCAGTCATCGGCAATGGTTCCAGTGCCATACAGATCCTTCCTCAAATGGTAGAGAGAGCATCCCATCTCACAAACTTCATCCGAAACCCAACATACATAACTCCAGGCCTAGGATCCGGCATTATCGGAGGACAGACACAATACTACTACACCGAAGAAGAAAAACAAACATTTCGCGAAGATCCAGAAGCACTGAAAGCCTACCGCAAGAAAATCCAAGCCGGCTCCAATCGCGCCTTCGACATGTTCGTCAAGAATTCCGAAGCCCAAGAATCCGGCCGAAAAGCCACAGCAGAACAAATGAAGCAAAAACTTGGCGGCGACGAAGAATTAGCCCAGAAGCTCATACCAGACTACGAAGTCGGCTGTCGACGCAGTACGCCAGGACCAGGTTATCTCGAAGCCTTCAAACGCTCCAACGTCTCCCTAATCACAACCCCCATAAAATCCATCACTTCAACCGGAATCCTCACATCCGACGACACACACCATGACTTGGACGCCATAATCTTCGCAACAGGCTTCGACGTATCCCACAAACCCCCCTTCCCGCTCATCGGCCGCAACAAAAAATCCTTGGCAGACTACTGGGACCCCGAACCAATGTCATACCTAAGTCTTTGCGCCTCAGGATTTCCTTCATTTTTCACGTTCAGTGGACCGAATGCGCCCGTTGGACATGGAAGTCTGATGGCGGGCTTGGGTTGGTCGGCGGAGTATATCTGTAAATGGATACAGAAGATTGCGGAAGAGGATATCAAGTATGTGGATGTGAAGCAGGAGGTTTTGGAGGAGTTTAATACGTATAGTGATGAGATTATGCAGACCCTGGCTTGGAGTGGAGGGTGTCAGTCGGTATGTCTCATGCTCTCCTGCGAATATTGGAGCACTTTTTCTGATTCCGAAGCTGATGCTGAACAGTGGTATAAAAATCATCGAAAGAATGGGAAAGTTACTGCTGTTTGGGTAAGTGTTCTGACTTCTTTGCGCGGCACCCATGCCTACAATTCATTTGCTCACTTGTCTTCGCGTTGCAGGCCGGCTCAGCCATCTCTTACCACGACATGATCTCCAGTCTGAGGCCCGAAGATTTTAATATTGTGTATCGGTCCAGAAATCGATTCAGATTCATGGGAAATGGGAGGACGAAGAGGGAATATGACCCTGAGGCTGATTTGGCGTGGTACTTGAAGAAGTGATGCAGTAAACCAGGAACCGTTGGCCGCTCGAGATCGTGGTCGTGCTGCGAGTGGGGCAGGCAAGAGCTCGCAGGCGTAGAGTCGTAGACCTGATGGAGCCGAGTTCGTATACCTGCAATGTGTAGAAGGAATTGTACTCGCTCGATGATGCGATCGTGTCGTAAGAGGGCCACGCAAGAGCTCAAGGGTGTAAAACGAATACTGCGATGGAGTTGGACTCGCTTTCAAACGCACGCTGCATCAAATTCATAGAGTATCAAGCAGAAGAAGAGAGGTAAACGCCAAGTACCACATGCCATCCATCCGTCTCTAACGCATCGCTCCCGCAATATATCTCCGCTCCGAGACGGCGGCTCCGTAGACTCAATTGCTCCAAGCTGAGCTCATCTAAACATACTGCGACAACCACCGAATACCATCTCCATACCCTTGCCTCATAACAACGGAACACATGAAAATCTCGATCGGTCGAATGCCATCAAGCGGCACTTTGCCCTTGCCCGTAGTCTGATAAAGTCCTAGCTCATGCCTCAACTGATCCTCAGACACAGCATTTGGGTGATCAATCTTGTTTCCCAAGATCAGGAAAGGTGTCTTGGCCAGATCTTCCATGCTCAACAGAGCGTCCAATTCGGCTTTGGATTCGGCGAAACGTTCGGGGTCTTTGGCGTCGACGAGGAAGACGATGCCGGAGACTTCTGGGAAATAGTCCTTCCACAGTCGGCGTGCTTGCTGGTGACCGCCGAGGTCAAAGGTTGTGAAGCGGCAGGCGCCGATGGAGAGTTCTTCGGAGGTAGGGTGGAGGGTGGGCTGGAGGATGGCGACACGGTCGTTCTTGAGCATGTGCAGGAGCTGTGCGGTCGAGGTTAGTTGCTGCAGGTTATCAAGGGCGATGAGGCCTGGAGTTGCTCGTGCTTACTGTGGTCTTGCCAGCGTTGTCGAGGCCTAGGAAGAGCAGTTTGGCGTGCTTGTTAGCCAGACCTAAGCTGGCCAGCATGTCCCAGACTGGAGAGGTGTTTGTCAGCTATTGAGTATTCTTCAGAGATACAGGCATGAATGACATACACCAGTCGAGGATCCACATGTTGGCAGGACTGTGCGGGTGCTATGCGGTTGATTGCTTCCAATATTGATCGAGAGTTGAAAGCAGCGGTTTTCGCTGATCGAGTGGCGAGCGTGGCAGTGGCAGAGTGGTTGAAAGATGGATGATGGAGGGTGTTAGTGTCGGAAGCGGCCAGATGAGCTTGCCAAGGATCCGTGTCTACAAGCTGGCTCAGGGTAGGGAGGCCCATACATACCAGAGGCTCAATGCGGGGTTTCTCATACTTCTCACCGCTATTCCTACCTAATTCTTCGTGTTTGACCTTCTACGACTCGTACTATACTCGCTATCGACTCGTAGAATGCCTCTACGTATCGATTTATCGCTATAGAAGGCTTAGATAATATCTTAAGTCTACGGCGGCACTATACAAGAAGCAATCGTATAATACCTTATATAAGAGACCGGTTGTCAGATATCTCTTAATACACTTAAACGAAGGCTTAAAGAGTAGAATATTAATTATAGCTACTCTACTTACTATTACCGAGTTAACGATATTAAGGTACTAAAGATCCGGGTCGTATATACCTTCTACGTTCTACGGTTAACTAATAAAGAGGCGGTTCGAGTACTATAGGCGGATAGGTTTAAGATTAGCTAGCGGAGGTATTAACGGATACGTTAAGAGCTTAGATTAAAGAAGGCATTATTAATAGACAAATAGATAGAAGCGGAAGAATAGATAGTAGAGGTCTTATAGGAAGAGCTCGAGAAGTCTATAGTAGAGTCCTTTAGCCGACGGCACCTATATACCTATATTAGGTCTAAATACAACATTATTAGTAGAGATCGGCTATATCGTATAGCTTCCTTGCTAAATCCTAAAGGGTTGCGAGTCCGCTACGAGCGGGCGCGAGAGTACTATAGAGCGATTATTATACCCGGCCCTAGTTATATAATATTAATAGATGCTTACTATAAATTCGAGCATTAGGGGATATAGATCTACGCAGCGATTGATATTTACTCGCGTTATATTGTCTAGATCTATATAGGCATTACTAGCCGGATAGCTATCTCTATACTAGCTTAATACCTTACAACGATCCGGAATAGTAGTATAATACTATAGATTATTCGATTAGACCGTAGGGCAGAGACGATTCTAGCCGCGGATACTTACTATAAGACTCGCCTTACGACTCGTAGTAACCCGGAACAACCGCTAGTATAAGAAGGGTTATGTTAGTAGGTAGATAGGGTAGTAGTAGGTATAAGTAGTATTCGATAAGGAGCTAGGAGGAGAGGGAGGAAGGTAGGAGAGTTAGCCTAACGCCAAGCGCCAAGCCCTGCCTAAGGCACTAAGACCCTAGCTTCACTCGGCCTAGTTATATGCTAATCACGTATAGCCTCTTTAGCCCTAACACACGCTTCCCTTCTAAAGGCCGCGCCCTCGTAGCCGGTCTTTGTCCTAGTCTTAACCTCTATTGCTGCTAACTTAGTAGGTCTAATAAGCTGCTTAGCCCGCGCTAAATTAAACACTTAACTACCTAATTATATAACTATATCAAACCTTACCTCTAACAATACAATGTATAACTCTAACTGCGCTATCTCTATATATAATAAACTATAAAGTGATATATATCTATAAGAATTGAAGGCCTTCGACTAATTACAATACGAGCGCGTCTTCCCTACTATAATAGGTAGACGTACGAGGTATTATAGCACTGCCTCCGTTCTAAGTAATGTCGTATCGAGTTCTTTGCGTCTACTCTTAAAAGATCTAGTAATGTCCGCTTCCGAGGGTTTGTCCGTTTCCGAGGGTTATTGTTCTTATTGTTCGTAGTTTCGCTAGCCCCAATTAGCTAGGTTTAGCAGCCTTTAAGTGTTAATCTTATCTTATCTTTTCAAAAAACACAGCTCGTCTAGTTTCTATAGGTAAAGGCTATTATAAGTATAGTAGTGGAGGTTCGCCTCGCTTAAAGGGTTAGATAGATCGAGGAGTAACCTATTGTCCGCAAGATCGACCCCGGCTAGCTTAGCTCTATAGTTTTGCCCTTAGTTAGTTAGTCTATTAGTCTACTCAATCTTTTAAGCGGCTTAAAGTTTTAACTCGGCCTCAAAGTTTTGATTAAACCTTTGATAGGCTTAAAGCTTTAATCAAAGTTTTAATTAAAGGTGCCTTAGGCTCGTAGTATAGGTAAGGTTGTGTCTATAGGCGCAGCGACAATAGCAAGTAATATTGACAATAGCGGCGCTAGTCGTCTTAGCGCTAACTTTACCTCGCTTCTAATCTCCTCCTTCTACTAATAATACACTCCGCAACACCGTTACTAACATAGCCGCGCCGGCCGTCGGCGTACTGCTAGCTCGTAGCGCGGCACTATCACCTTTATTACCGTTATTCGCACGCGCGCGCGCGTCGCCCTTATCGAACGCTTAGGTCTCGAGGCCTCGATAGAATAAAGAATAAGAGGGGGACCTATAGGGCGCATTAGGGAAGAGGTAGAATCCTTAAAAGAGTAGGCGATTAGTTGACAGCTATAGCGCGTTTGTTAACGCTTAGTACGCGTCCACTATAGTAGTATAGTCTTATTGTCCTAGTTTGTCGGCCTCTAATTAGTTAGCTAATAGCACCCCGGGGGTGCTATTAATCCTAAGCCTTAGTAACATTACGAGCTTTTAGCCTTCTTCTTGTTCTTTACACTAGTCCAATACTCGTCTAATAGCTTAGTTATATCTTTAAAAGAGGCTTCAGCTTCCTACGAGTCCTATTTAGGCGAATAGCCTTGCTATCTTAACAGGTACTCCTTCTTGCCTTTCCTAGTCCGGTACTATAAGATACGTTCTATAGACTATAGTTCTTTACTATTAGCTAAGACTTCTTCTAACTTAGCAGGTGCTTCGTCGCCTTCGCGTTAATAGTATAGCTTAAGGAGGGATATATAGAAGGTATTATAGATAGTGTAATAGGGTAGAAGCTATAACTAGTAGGCCTATATGCCCTTCGGTTCTCGGATGCGGAATGGGCTAATGTATCTTAGTGCGAGCTTAGGCCTTGTTTTACTATCGGGTAATAGGTGTTTGCGGATGCGGAGGTTCTTTATACTAAGCATAACTATGTCGCCTTGCTTGAAGGTCATTAGAAGGTAGTGTTTGTTATAGTAGGTCTTTTAGTACTCTTAAGCCTTTGTCAACTTCTCGGCTATCTTAGTATAGATTTCTCGTATCTTCTAAACCCTCTTAATAGCCGCTAGTGTTTCAGGTTGACCTTAACCCGCTTCCCTTTCCTTACGCTCGGCCTCGAGCGATAAGGGATCTTGTAGTATAGTAGCGTTTTAGCCTATTATAGCGAAATAAGGTAACACCTTAGTAGATAAGTAGACACTATTATTGTATACGAATTCGGCTAGTTGTAGGAGGTTAACCTAATCGTTAGGGTTGTTATTAATATAGCTACGCAGGTACTACTATAGCGTAGCATTCTGCCTCTCGGTCTAGCTATCTGTTTGTAGATAGAATGCTATAGATAGGCGATGCTTAAGTCTCAGCTATAGGCATATCTCACTCTAATAGTAAGATATGAATATCGGGCCTCGGTTAGAGACTATCCCCTTAGGGGTTCCCTAATAGCTATAGAAGATGTTATTCTATAGTAACTTAGCTAGGTTAATAGCAGTCTA